CTCCCTACAGCGTTCAGTTCTGTCTGCAGCATGGCTTTAAAGCACTTTAAAGTCCTGCAGCCACTGTGGGTCAGTGGTAACACTGCATGTGGAAAGTGGCTCAGAAAGGGTTGGTTTATGGTGGCACCTGCTGATAAAACACATCCTTCCAGCTGGGCCTCGGTTTGAGAAACAGCACACAGATGTGTGTGGTGTACCACTGTCACCATTAACTTCAACTCTGTACTTCTGTGTGCACATGGGCATGTGAGAGGAAAAGGGGAGACCTGGAATTTCATATGAAGAATTAGGTGCTGACATTCTGTCATATTGAACTTGCAAGGGATTATTTCGTAGAATCGGTGAGGGTGGAAAAGACCTCTAAGATCACCAAGTCCGGCCATTAACCTAACACTGCCAGGTCCACCATTATTTCCTTATAAGGTGTTTTGGAGAAGAATACAAGCTTTGTTTCTTGCAAAAATCTTAACCTTATTTCCATGCAGTAAACTGACTGGGAGGCAGGACTTTGTTCCTGAGTGATTGCTCTTATTTTACACACTAGTGTGTTTGGGGTTTTCATTTCTCCAGTATTTTTCGTAGAATGTAAGAAGCATTTTACTAACTGAAGGATGTGATTTTTCATGAAAACTGATGACTGCAATATCATTAGATTTTGTCCTTGGGAGTGCTGTCTTTGAAGACAACTGAACACTAGTCCTCTAGAACAAGGTAAATGCTAGAGCTGGGACTGCTATCTTGTGTATGTTGACCAAAGTGATAATTGCAGTTATTGAATTGGAATACTATAAGTGTGCTCAGGCTACATACTGGTTACCATATGAAGATGAAGGGAAGATGCACACAAATTACCTCATGTTAAGTTGGGTGAAGAGCCTGATTATTTCTTTGTTTAGGACAGGAAGGAAGATTTAAAAGAGTTGATTTGAGCCTTGGCATACACAACTGTGCTGAAGGAAATCTCTATTCCATCATGTCTTTTTATTACCATTCAAATTGAATATGTCCCAAGTTATTTAGAACCAGGGAGGGAAATACACTGAATGGTGTTACACGGGGGCATTATGTTGCCATTTCTTGGCGCTGGCCCTGTGGGACATAGCAGTGATGTCCCTCCTGGCAGTAGGCAGGCTGCAACAGCTGGGACGTGGAGGGCCAATTCACCCTGCAGGGAAGCAAGCCGTAGGAAGGAGTGCTGCTTCCTGGGATTTGCTTCTGGCCAGCTGCATGGCAGCGAGGGCATGGAGATGGTCCTTTTACCACCCACTTTTCAGTGCATGGGCTGTGCCAAGTGGCTGGAGAGAAGATGGGCAGCAGGAGAGCATCTAGAGCAGAATGAGCCACCAGCTGTGCCTACAGTTCCACTAATGGTAGTGCCTTGAGTGGGAGGTGAGAGACAGGGAAGGGAGGACAGATGCTCAAGAACAACTTCACAAGTGAGATTGAAAGGTGGTGTAGTGTAGGTGTGCTCTGCACCATTTTCATTAAATTGACACTACCAAGTGCCTTGGCAGCTGACTGTGTTACTGTGAGCAGTGCAGGGCATGATTTGCTGCCCTGGCACCTGAGGAAAGCCCTTCCCTGCCATGGCAGCAGGTCTCTAATCTTCCCAGTCTACCAGCAGCAGAATCAGAGCCCGTCTGATCCATGTTCATACCGCATGTCTGAGCAGACCTGAGCTTAACACCTAGGCCAGCATCCATCTGGTGTCTCCTGGAAGGAAGGGCACTGGTGTGAATTGTGGTTCAAGTATTTCCTCTGATCTGCAAAAGAGATTGATTTTCACACCTAGCTTCATGGAACTTGGGGTGTTTCAAGCTGCTGCCCTTCTTTCAGCAGCACAAGTTGTAGAGTACTAGAAATACTTCGTAGCTGTTAAGGTATACCAGTTTTTGGACCAGTACAAACTAAACTTTAGGTATAGGTGCTGGAAATAGCCAGAGGCCATACCAGTGATCCTGGACTATCCACCAGTGATGTGTGGCATGTCTTGTAGTTTCCCCTTGACTATCCTTTCACAGACATGTTCTAACAAATACTGGGTTTTGGATGGGTGTGCTGCACGGGGTCAAAATGCGTGGCACCCTGCCACTCTTGGGAGTTTAGAAGACAAATATTCACGAGGAGAAGTAATAGACAAATACCCATGTACACTATTTTTCCATGAAACTTTGTTGTTTGAGTGCATCTTTTTGGGTTTGTTTGCTTGATGATGTTCCAGAATGAAATCCTCCATTTCATCTTTCCTCAGCGATGTGTACAGTCCCTGAAAATGACAGAAACTTTCAGATAGTTTGCTCTTGGATTGCAGCCCACTGTAGTATCCATTGTTCAAGGATAACAACTGCTTTAGCTTGGTTATGGAGGTCCAAAATAAATGCTGGATCTCCCTGCCTGCTCTTCTTAACTCCTACTAGAATCATGGGGACGGGCAAATGTCTTTCTCTCGAGGTGGTCGGTGCTGCTCCAGCCTCAGAGGAATTGTTGAGAAGTGAGGTAAGGCACCCACACTGAGCAGAGCATGTAGGACTTGTGAACTTGCTTGGATTCCCAGCTGGTTGTGCAATATTTAAAACAAGATCTATGCTTGTGCACACAGAAGGACTTGCCTTCGGGTATGCACACTTAGTTTCCAGATTTTTAAGCTTCAGACAATTTGAGTATCTGATCCCAATGTTTTCTAATTCACCTTTTTTTTTTTTAATCTTTTTAATAATTTTTAGCAGATTAAAACAATTTGGTTAGCGTCAGGAGAACCTTTTTTTGTTAAGCCATATAACATTTTGTTAGGAGCAAATGCTCTATTTATTAATTTTTGTTTGGTTTGTGCAGTGTTAAAAATAACATGGCATTCGCGTTTTGTGTTTTCTGGTCTGTGTTTCACTGCTGTAGGCAGGCTAGCCTCTGATTGAAGTGCAGTGTTACGGATTCTTGTTGTCTTTTCTAAGCAGACTATTTTGGAGCTGCAAATGGGAGCTGAAAGTTTTCCAAAGTCAGGATGTTATAACCAAATCTGCTTTCTCTTCCAGACATTCCCATGCAAATGGCTCGTGGGAGGTAACAGCTTAAAAGGTTGCAGGAGAGATACCTTCTGTACCCTCTTCCTCACTTCCCAAAACCAAATGCAGTATTCAGAATACTCATAATGTTTGAATGTGTACTTATTTCTGAAGGAAATACTATCTTGTGAGCTCTTAAATGATTTTATTCTGCTTTTATATCCCCAATCATTTAAAGAACTGTCATCATTTTTAACATATATGAAAGTCAAGTGCTAATATGGGAAGAAATGTCTCTGAAACTGTGTCAATCTAATCAGATTTTCTGATTCACAAAACCTGTGTCATGGACTAGTATTTGGCCATGATGAGGGGAAGTTGTGGTGAATTTGTACTGATTCTTGAACAACAAGAGTCCAGTCTAATTCTTCTTTTTCTTAGTTCCCTTCTCTTTTTAGTTCCTGTTGCCTGACATAAAAAAAAAAGCCAACAACTTTCAAAGTAGATAACAGTCAGTAAGTTTAATAGTTTTTCTGTTGTTGAAAACAACTTAGGAGTTTTGAGTTCATTGACTATCTGAGCACAATTAGCCCTGCGTTTGTGACTGTAGCAGGATGTAATTACATCAGGGCACCACGTACCTCCTGTTGCTATTTGTGCTGAAATGTCTGGTCCAACCACTACAGGATTTCTCAACGGAAGTCACCGTCTTTGTGTCTTCCAGCTTGCAAGATATTTTTGGGTTTGTGTGTTAAGCTACAAACATGCAGAGTCATAACATGGATGTGAGAAAATCTACAGTGCAAACAGGAAGCAAATATTGCCGTGTCTTTCTTCTTGTGTAGGTTTTCTGCTGAGTGCCAGCCCGTGTTCTTCAGACTGCTGCTCTGCAGCCCTGCCAGTGTGCTGCTGTTTGTAAGCTGTTCTGATGGATGGTTGCAACTAGTCTTAAAACAGCCTGGTTTACCCAGTAGGAGAAAGAGGGGCTTCACATATCATATTTTTTTAAAAAGATCCTTCTTTTTGGTAGTTCTTGTTCTTTCAGATGAAGGAAGAAGAAAGGCATAATGACCAAGAAGTGGCTAATGTTGTGTGCAAAGACTCTGATGGAAAGTCAGAGACTTGAGACTGTTTCAGCCAGATTTTGAGCAGAGGGAATGAAAATGCTGAAAAGCTTTGATCAGAGTAGTGTTAATTCTGGATATGGTGGATTGAGCCTAAATATCTGGCTGATATCGCTGTTCCAAGCAATGGAAAATGTTTTGGATTTTTTTTTCTCTTTTGAGTGCATTTTACAAGCTCTTTCTGCATCTGAATAATTCCAGAGGTATTTTATAAAAGTTATGGCTTTGTTGGCTGATTGCAGGCACAATGTACTGATAGGTGGTTTTACCTCTAGCTACTGTCACTTCCAAGTTACTACACAATATACAAGGAACATGAATGAAGCAAATAATTTCATGAGAAAAGTGAATGCTGTTTTCCAGCATGTCATTTATTTATTTAGCAACTGAAGATGGGTATACAGCGTGTTTATGAAATCTACTACCAGTGGTAGACAACAGCAGCGCCGTAGGGCATGGAGCAATCCACCCTTAATCTAGTGTCTGATCAACAGTGCTGGTGTCTCTGAGAATTTTGTTCCAACAGCAGAATAAATAAGTGCTCTTTCAGATTTTAAGAGCAGTTGAAAAATTCCAGCTTTTCCTCTTTGTGGTCAGTTGCAATTTGCGCAGACTTGACACTTAACTGCTACTACATTAGCAGCTCCTTGTATTGAGCTCAGCTGTAAGGAAAGCGCTTGCTTTTTAGGAGGTTTGTTGTCATTGGATACCACAGTACTGATTTACATTACTGGGAAGTGCTATTTTTACCACAAGCCTGCCTCTGCCTCTGGCAATACCAGCTATTTGAGCACAGTTCCTGCCTCCTGCTTCTCAAGGTGGCATCTCTGTTGTCACCCAACCAAATGCTGCCATTTGTTTATTTCTGCATCCCCAGGTTGCTCTATGGCACAGTCACCCCTAACCTGCTCGCTCACTTGGGCTAAGAGCAGTTGTGCTGTCCTACTAGACTGTATCCTCCATAGGAACAAGGTGAGAGTTTCCTGCCTTCCGCATCTCCCCAGCTTAGTTTTTGGGCTATATCAGGGAAGATACCCGTGTATTTACTCCTAAATCCTGCTTTGCTGTGTAGCCAGTGCTGCACAGAACACCTTCACTTGCGTGACTTTGCAGATGTCAGGAAGAGCGAGCATGAAGTTGGCCTTTGTGAGATAGGTTGTGAAATTTTTGCTGCATGCAGCCTCTTTGTGCTGGACTGTCCAGTCTCAGGTGGTCTTGGTGGTGGGCCCTGACAGCCCAATCTGTGTTGGCAGCGCAGCATTTTCCCTTGCACTGTGAGGCCGAGGGCCAGGCATGCACCAGTGGCCTGTGACCTGCCAGCCCTGTGGCCTGTGACCTGCCAGGGAAGAGTAGCTGGAAAGCTGTCCAGTGGAATATGAGAATAATACAAGAACTGCCTCTCTTCCCCACGTGACTGGGTGAAGTTGAGCAGCTGTGAACAAAAACTGTTTTCTCTGTGCCGTGTGGCATCCTGAAGTACCATGATGGCTGGAAGTGTGAGAACAGTGATGGTGTATCCATGCCATCCATCGTGCGTAGTCACGCGTGCGCTGTTGCGTTACTGTGAGTGACATTGTGTATGCAGCAAGGACAAAGCAATTGCAAAGCCCAGATAAGGGGAGAGGACCACTGTTGTACTGAGCATCTGGAAATTAGGACTTGACAGAAGACGTTGATGGTGTAAACTTCATTCACCCAGTCTCCCAACCTCCTGAAGCACGGACGTGTGATGTGGTAGTGGGGGCAGGGGCAGCTCTATTCCCCCTGAGATGCCACGTGGACACTTGATGGGTTTCTCAGTGAGCTGAAACTTCCAGGCTGTGTGTGCAAATGGGTTCTGCTTGAGAGGGGAGAGAGCCAACAACAGTAGTTTTTCCCCTCCCTGGGGTGGGCACTGGAGGAGTGAGACACATACTTAATTAGAGAGGATGCTTTGTAGGCCCTCCTCCCCCCCCACTACCAAAACCTTGCCACGCAAACCCAATACAACCCTGAACATCCTTTTCTCTGGTTATACTCTTCTGTCTGTCCATCCCAAAGTCAGATTGTTTCCAAGGACTTGTGTACCATGTTCCCAGTTCTCTTTCCGTTCCTGTCTTTTCTTGTCCTGCTCCAGTCTCTTTTTCCTTTACCGTTCTCACCTGACCAACCTTTTGGCTTCTCTGATGTCTCCTTGGCTTTTCTCTGTGGATCTTCATTGCCTTGTCTCATGTCTTGCATGTCTGTCCCCATTTTCTTGCCAAGTGGTTTTAGGTTACCCCACATGCCTTTCAGTCTATGCTGGACATGTCCCTTTTGTTCAGTCCCACTCTCTCCTCTGGAGAGCATCTGACACTCCCACAGTCACTGATTTGCATCAGCCCTGTGCTCTGAGAACCTCGGTGCAGCTGCAGCGCTAAGTTTTGTGAGACATCAAGTGGACAGAGGAGGATGCACATTTTTTGGTTCAGTGGCAGACCAGTGGTATTAGCTCTTTAAACTATCTGTTGCATTTTTTAAAATCAGTTTTGCCAAGATCAAGTTGAGTTTTTCCTGTGTGTAGAGCATTGTCATGTCCTAGTAAGAACTCCAGGCATGGTGTTGATCTCCTTGAGTGTCAGGTGTACCACCTGAAGAGTGGGGCTCTGAAACATGCAAAGGCTGTTGGAGCATGCACCAAGTTACCCAGCCAGTATTGCAGAATGTTGAGTTCACGGGTGGCTTCCTAGCAAAACCCAGAATTGCTTTGGCAAACTTGGCACAGCATGTGACACAGCTAGAGGCGTGCTTGGCTCGTGTGATGCTGCTGAAGTGCGGGTGTCCGTAAGGTTTCCCTCAGTGATTGATTATTCTTTCTTTGTGGGGGTTAATTCTTTTTTGGGCTGTACATTTTCTGACAGTGTGTATCTTGTTCTCCACATCTCCACTGCACTGTAGGATCACTTAAAAAACCCAGCTAGCTTTCTCCATGGGGAATTTGTGATAAATATCCTTTGCTTGTTAAATTCCCATTCAGCTGTTCCACGGCATCCCTGAATTGCCCTTCTGTCAACAGTGAGCAGTTGGTTTGATTGGCCAGGTTGGGCATGTGCTTTTAGAGAGGGTCCCCAGCCATACCATGACAGATTCACACCCAGCAAACAATCAGGAGCTTAAAATTAGAGGAGGAGGAAAGCTTGCTGCCAGCAAGCAAGATACCAGTTTTATTACCCTCAGAGCTTATTGCCCTTCCTAATTAAAATCTCAATCAGTTGCAACCGCTTGCCTGCATCTATAAAGCTCCCCTAAGTGTGAAGTAAGGTGACTTGGAGTGACTGGGAATGTGCACAGGGCAGGTGGTGCATGCTGTTTGCACCAAGCACAAATGATCTTGTGGGTTCAGCAGTTGTTTTCCTTCTCTGATTATTTATTTGCATTTTTAGAATGACCTTGAGTGGGGAATGACTGCTCACTCAACCCTATGTCCTTGCTTGCACTTCCAGACAGAGACTCTTTGGAAGGTCCTAGTTGTTAGACCTGTTTTATGCTCTCGGCTACGTGACCTGAGTTACAAAAAAGCTCTTGTTCCCACAGTGCAGTGGGGCTGTATAAACTGATGCTCATGGCCACCCTTCCCGTATGGGGATAGAGTGGGCTGCAGCATTTGGCTTACAATAGCATTGTGTGCTTCCATCCAAAATACAAATTGTGCTAGCTCCTGCCTGAATGCTTGAAAAATGAACATGAAGTCCTACCCTGCTGTATGGACCTGACTGTGTTTGATGAATTGGAGTCTCTGCTGGCAAAATGTAATTGCTTGTAATTATGACAAATCACGCGCCTTGCTCATACTGTGAACTACAAAGCTTTTGTCCACTACCGCTTATCCAACTACTTAAAAAGCTCTCCTGATAAAGTGCATGAAACTCAGAAACAGCCTTCAAGGTTTGGTTATTCGCATTTTGTAGAGGACACCAAAAAAAATTTGGTGTATTTGAACTCACTTCTATTCCCCAGAGTTTCTCCTGATGTGGGGGAGCAGAAATGGGACTGCAGGACGGGGGATGGCTCAGCAGTACAGCAAGATGAAAGCAAGGATGGCTATCAAGAGCGTTGCTCTTGATCCGTGTCCTTGATAAAAATCCCTAGTGATGTTCATCCTTCCAGTAACAGCTGCAGGCATGTCGTTTCTCCTCTTTCTGTATTACTGGACAATCTGTCCTTTTGCTTGTTTTGGGTTTGCATTTTCTGCAGTAGGGAGTGGTTTCTTCTATCCACCAGGAGTGTTTGTTTCAGCACATGGTAAAAAGGCGTGCATGCACGAGGGAGTGGTCTGTGTGTTACCTCACCTTGCATGAGCACAAAATGGCACGCACAAGAAGCAACTTCTGGGATGAATTGCCATTGTTTTCCATGTGCTGTATTACTTTGGTTTATGGTCCATGCTGTCAGCATGTGGCAGTCACGTTTACAGCGCACCACTGAGTTCAATGTCCTAGCTGGCTATTTTAAAATGCTGGGTACCTTCATAGCCACAGGTATTTGGAGCTGTAATTGCTGAGATAAGAGTGCTGCAGTTTGTGGAGTAGAGAACTTGGTGCTCCCTTCCAGGTACAGTGCTGCACCTCTTGGCTGGGCATACTGTCTGCCTATGTTGAGGGGAGTCCCAACCTACTGCTGAGTATAAAGCCTTGCTGAAAAAGGGGGGATCCTCTGGCACAGCAGGTCTAATTTGAAGGCGAGTTCTTCTCAGTAAATACCCTTCCCTTCTTTTCTGTCTTTCAGCATCAAGATGGTGCTGATGTGGACCAGTGGGGACACGTTCAAGACTGTTTACTTCATCCTGAATCAGGCCCCTTTCCAGTTCTCCATCTGTGGACTCCTGCAGGTTTTTGTGGACATCGCTATCCTGTTGCAGGTTTACTTGTACAGCTACTACCCTCAGAAGCCCGTGTCCCACACTGCACACCCAGCCAGCACCAAGGCCCTGTGAGGAACTTAGCTGGACAGGTTGCAGGTCAACAGTGCTGTGGAGTCAGCCATGGCAGAGCTCCTCTTCCACTTGTAAATACTCTGGGGTTGCTGAGTTAAAAGGAGAAATGAGAACAAGGGTTGAAAACCTGGCTGCACTTCCAGCTCAGGAAGTTTTATTTTCAATAACTTGCTCGCTCTGTTTTCAGACTTGACTGTACAGAACTGTTTCTTGGTGGGGGGAGGGGCACTTTATTTTTGCATATGTACCTATGAGCCTTATCAACTCACAAATGTTTGTATATTTAATCACAAGGGCTGGATGGTTTGTGTTTTTAATGCTATTTAAAAATGTTACACCACAGAAATTATAGGATATTTTGTCTGAAACTTTTACCTATTTATATAATATAAAGTCTGTATATTGGCAGGAAGTTTGTGGCATATACTAGCATTCAGTATCTCCACGATGGAGGAGGAAGAGCAGGAGCTTTTTCTTTTCTCTGTAAGGGTGTCCGGTGAGCAGAGAAGGCGAGGGCAGGAGGCCCTGCAAAGAGGTGAGCAGCCGGAAATGAGCTGGTCATCAACATGCTAAAAAGTGAGCAGGTGTTCACCCCCGCTGCGGGATCAGTGTGGCAGGAGGGCACGTTAAGGAGGTGATGAAGGGGGCATGAGTATGGATGATGCTGGAGCCATGATGATGCTGGCACAGCCAGTCAAGTGGTCAGCCAAAAGGAGGAGCCAGCAGGAGACTGCAGGTAACTCAGGTAGTAGTCATGCTTTGAAGTGGTGGGGTTTGGGAATAGCCCGTCCTGCACTTGGCAGGCAGCACTGCCCCTGTGGCTGTACACAGGACAGGGCTGGGCTATGGGATGACTTTCACAAACCAAGGGGCCAGCAGATGCGTGTTGCCAGTATTGCCAAGCAAGTATTTCTAGACGGCATTTGAGCCATAAAGGTTAGAAGCAGGTCCACTTCCATTGGCTCAGATATTTAAAAGTTTAAGGCAGAGAAAAAGCTGTATCCTGTGGAGTAGGATTAGCATTTGACAGCTCGATTTGTTGAGGCTGAGATTCACGTTCATGTTGTTAATGCCAAACAATAACCAGTTTATGTTTTGGGCTCTTTCCTGCATTGACCCAGCAGGGAAGGAGTCCACATTTTCCTTTTACTGTTGTGAACTTTTAGGCTCTTGGAAGAATCAGCAGTCTGTACTTAGACAGAGGGACTGAAAAAGCTGAAAGAGGAGAGTTTATGTAGATGTTGTCTCTAATGGCTGTTTGCCATCATAGGTCACTGTGCTCTTTCTGAGAGCTGCATGTCACCGGCAGCTCCAGTTTGGTGTGGGCCCACAGGGGCTGTGACTGAGCCCCTGGGCTTCTGCCAGCTGAAGTCATAAAACCACCCCAGGTGGTATGAGGTAGCCACAGCAAGACCTTTAGTCCCAGGAACAGCTATGCCTCTGCTGCTTCCCTCTTCATGAGGCTTCCTCCCTCTGCCTGGTGAGTCCTGTCTGACCGCAGGCAAGAGCTGGCACAGATTTTTCAGAATCACTTTTTTCCCTGAGAATAGCCCAAAAGTTTATGTTTTCTTATCGATGGCAGCAAGTCTGAGATTTGATAACTTCAGTGTGTAAATCAGATACTTCCCCTGCTGTGCTTTATTTGGGAACCTCACAATTTGAGTCTGGACTGTCTTATCTGTGGCAAACTGTCCAGTGGAGGGGAATCACCCTCTGCCCAGGCACTGACTCCATGCTCTTTGTTCAATACCATACTCTTTTAGGCCTGAAGTGACCTTACAAAGACAATGTACTTGGCATGGTAGACTATGAATGTTTTGTTCCTCTCTCTTCTCCAATGTTCTGGTTGTGTTACAGGAACATCTGGGCTTTTGTCTTTTTTAATTGAAAACTTACTTAACAACTGGCTTCTTCGGTATGCTGCTTTAATGAGGATTGTATTTCTACTGTTTGCAAACAAACACTTTCTTGTGTGTTTTAATGGTCTGAAGGTTTTTTTTAATAACTTGTAATGGTAAGATTTTGTACATGGTGGTCTTTTTCTAATATTCTGTGAAACGGGGATGTAAGAAATTAATGGTTTGTAAGAAACATACTTCCGTATGTTATAGCTTCACCTGGGAATGCACACTTTTGGCCACCCCTTTGGCTTTGAACTACAGATATTACTGAGGATATAACAACTTCTGCTTTTTCCTTTTGGGACTCTTCCTTGGGCAGATTCTTGAGTCTGTCATCAGTACCCGAACCAGCAAGCTCTGCAGACCAGACTCATTCACAGCAGAGCTGCAAATGCTGGAAGAGAAGCCAGTGAAACCATGTCTGAGTCATCTTCTGTATGTGGCATTTAGCAAGGCAGGACTCTTGGCCAGGAACTCTTTAACTTCATCTTGCAAGGTACAAAGTGTTACAGAACTTTGGTTTTGTTCTATAATTGTCAGGAAGTATCTGTTTCAATGATCACCTCAGAGAATAAGAAATCAATTACTTTAAATACATCTCTTTGAATGTATGGCACATTTCATGGAGTTTATTTTTTCTGTCAGTTGCAATGTTTTTTTAAATAAAAATTACCTATTATATATAAATCACACCGTTGCTTTGTTTTGTTCAGGTACAAAATGTGTGCTTCTTACCTCTTACTGTAATTCATCATGTCTACAGCATTGTCAGTAGGAATAATTTGTTTGCTTTTCCCCTTTGATGAGCGGGTGAGCACAAGGCATAAATTTTCCTGAGGCCATGGTGCACAACAGGGATTCTGGATCTCTGTCCCCTGCTCTTCAATAGGTAAACTTAACCCTAATGACCACATAACTCCTTCATTCTTGTGACGCTCATACTAAAAACAAATTTACTAACAGATTATTATGTAGCCTTAAAAAAACCCCATTTCATGGAAACGTGTGAGATTGAAGATGGGACACAGATGGGGGACATACTCGTTGCAGCCTTTGTACAGAAGATGAGGAAGAAGATGAGCGTGTCATCTCATGGCCAGCTACTGTCCCAGGAGGAGTCTTGGCCACCCTCCCTCTTGATTCAGGATGGAAAAATGAGCCAAAACTGTCAGGACCAGCCCTGTGGCCACTGTGTATCTCCTGGATCTTGCCAGGCTGCTGTTGCAGGCTCTTCAGCTGCTCTGGCGTGGGGAGGTGGTTTTGCTATTGCTGTGTGCAATGGCTGCAGAAGCTGGAGAAGAGAAATTGATGAGGAGAGACGGCTGGAGGCACAGGAGACAGAGTCAGGAAGGGTAGAAGGCGAAAAGTGGGAGAGACTGAGCTTGCTCAAATAAGGGCCTGAAGGGAGAGACTCCTAGAGGGAAGGAAATGAAGGAAAATCAAGACCTGAAGGGCAAAGTTAGATAAATCAGCAAAGTGGGGGGAAAAGGAGGAGGAACATGAGGGTGGGGAGTAAAACCTGCTAGTTGTGTTAACACTTTGCTGGTCGTGGAGACAATGACCCACACAGTTCCCACAACAGCCGAGCCTGCTTATTACTCACAGTGGCTGCACCATCTATCCCAAATAGTACTGGTGTTACTGGCTGCTGTTCTGGCACTCACTGGTGGGAAGCCACTGGTGGGGCTCTCCTTAAACGAAACAACAGGGAATCCCATCTCTGGGCACTGCAGCAGCCTGGCCCATGTCCTGCTGGCTGGTGCAGTGCTGGGCCTGGCCACCCTCAGGCAAATCTCTCCCTTGGCTGTGCACAGCAGATAGTGCTCTGCACTGCAGTTCCATACAGGAAGAGATTTCATGGTTAGGTGTTTGGGATGCATGGAGTTAGGTGCAATTTAAAAACATTTTAAGACAAAAAATAAAGCTCACATTTGGCACTGGGTAATAAAAGTTGGCCCACAGGTTCTGTTTGTTAAATATGGTTGTAATGAGACTCTTGAGAGCCAAGCAGGGTTCACGGAGCTGACTGACAACTGTAGTTTTGTTGGAGGCTTTCTGTAACGAAGACATTAATGTGTAAGTCAACAATATGCCAATAAATAAACAGACTGCCTGGATGCCTGTGCCAACAGCAGTAAACAAGAGACAGGGACTAGAACAAATTGTGAGATGTGTCCTGGAGCAGGGGCAGGTCTCCCTGTAAACAACCTTGTAAAGCAACCAGTTCCCAGTGGATGTCAGCATTTGGAAGTGGCCTGATAGCAAACACAGACTTAGGACTTGAGATACCTGTCCCTGCCCCTTCTGTGTCCCAGCTTATGTGGATTTGACTCTTGTAGGTGCTGGCTTAGCTGTGCTAGGAAGCTGAGGGGCTTTGCTCAGCCTCAGATGGGTTAGCAGAATCATGCTGGATTTCTCTACCCATCAGCCCTTCCATGACCCTCTGTCATCTTCCACCCCAAGGCTTTGTAGTCTTCTAAGGCTGTGGCTTGTAGGTGCCAGGGAGAGCCAAGGTTGCTTTGCTTCCCTGAAGCATCTGCTGTGAGGCTGGCATAGCCTGTGCTCATTCTGGCCTCATTACTGTGAGACAGCAACTTCTGTCCAGCTTGCACCCGATGGGATGATACCAGTGTCAATGTTTTTTAGTGTTTAATTGAGGTTGGTGTGAGGTAGGAGATGGCTGTGCACGTGTGCTGTATGAGCAAAGTTGTGTCTGACTTTGTGACATTCCCTTTCACTCTGTCCCTTTACCAGTTAATACATCCTTAACTCTCATAGTCATGGTTTTTAGATGATTATTGTTGCCAGCTGCCGTAATTTGTGGGTCCAGGTCCATGCATGCTGTCACCAAGGTGGAGATGTAGAAG